CCCCGCTCCCACCCCCAGCAGCTTTCTGGTACCTGTAGCACCTCGGAGCGTGTGGGTTGTAAGATTCTGCCATGCACAGTGTGTTCTGTCCAGTAATGGAGTGTGGGTACCTAGAGCTCAGGCCCCAGTCCCAGCCCTGCCCTGACCAGCTGTGTGGCCTTGATGAAATCACTTCACCTCTCTGAGTGAATCGCCTCCTAAGAAATGTGTGGATGTGGGGCAAGAGGTGAGGCATGGGGATGGACTGGAGTACCAATTCCTTCTGCCAAAGTAAAGATTCCTGCAACTATGTAGGTAAAGGCACAAGTGTGGGGAAAACGTGGGATTTACCGAAGGAATCTGCACTGAGACCAATTCAAATAACTTGATTTTTCATCTGAGTGAAGTTAAATAATATAAACCTAATATAAATAACTAGTCTTTAATTAATTTACTTATTCTTGTAAGTTCCTTACTTTCAAAAAGGGTTTGAGATGGTTTCTCCAGCACCCTTATACTGTGGGATGGGGCAGGCAGTGATGGCTTTTCTGCTTCCATCATAACCCCACCTCCTCTTGCACATCCAAGCTGGTGGGGGCAACAGCACCTCAGCCTCCCCCTTTGATGTGAGGGGAACCACACCTCACCTCCTGGGAGGGATGAGCGTTCTGAGGGAGCAGTTCCTCCTGCACCAGACACAGCCTCCTGCTGCCATGGATGTTCTGGATGAAGCCCAGACAAAAGAAATGTCTTTTTTTAAAAAAAATATTTTTATTGATTTCAGAGAGGAAGGAAGAGGGAGAGAGATAGAAACATCAATGATGAGAGAGAATTATTGATTGGCTGCCTCCTGCACGCCCCCCACTGGGGATCGAGCCTGCAACCCGGGCATGTGCCCTTGATCAGATTCGAACCTGGGACCCTTCAGTCCTCAGGCTGACGCTCTATCCACCGAGCCAAACCAGCTAGGGCCAAAAGAAATGTCTTGAAACCAAGAGCACTTTAAATCATTTCCACATTTAATTTCCACAGCTCTCGCACCAAAGAGGTCAATGTGCAGATTTGAGGGCAGAAATGGATGAACTTGGAATCTAATTTATTTTAGATCTAAAACATAGAGGTTTTGTTTTTCGACTAAATTAGAGCAGGAGAGAACAGCTGCACCTGCTAATGAGGTGGAATGTGGTCGTTCAGGTGGGATTCCCTTTGGGCTCAAGGTAGTGTTGGTGAGCTTCATTGTTCAACTGCCAAGGAATGATCACCATCTTTATGTGTTCTCAGTGACAGTTTTCAGTGTTTACTGGGTGTATTTCTTCCAACCATAGAAGTGTACTTCCAATTTTGTCATGTGGAACTCGGATTCCTCATAAAAAGGTTTACAGCCAACTTTACTGGAATGCATTGCCTTACAAAATAAGGGATGCCTGCGGTTAGCGTTTCCATCAGGAAATTTGACTGATCATCCATATCCTGTACTAGTTATCTATTGCTGTATAACAAACAATCCCCAACCTAGCAGCTTGAACAAATTACCTCAATTTTTAGCAGCTTCAAACATTTGTTGTTTCACATTTGCTAGGGTCAGAAATCTAGGTCTAATGAGCTGGTAGCCTCCAGCTCAGGTTTCTCAGGCTGCAGTTATCTCAAAGCCTGACTGTGAGAAGATTTCTTTTCAAGCTCATTTACCTGGCTGTTGGCAAGCCTGAGGTCCTTGCTGTTGGTCAGGGACACCAGTGTCTCGCCATGAGTGGGCCTCTTCATAGACAGCTTACAGCATGGCAGCTGGCTTCTCTGAGTGGAGCAAAACTGAGAAATAGGCCAACCAGCCCAAGACGGAAGCCACAGTCTTGTTTGTAACCTATGTGGGAAGGGACATTCCACCACTTTTACCATATTCTCTTCATTAGCAGCAAATCACTAGACCAGCCCCACACAAGGGGAGGGAATTAGCACAGCTAGGGGCATGAGTATCGGGCTCATCTTAGATTTCTATCAGCAGCCATAATGCCTCTTAGTAGAGGGACAGAATCACTCTTACTTGCCTCTTTAACCCCAGTGCGTAGCATACATTCTGACCATGATAGGTGCTCTAAGATGTTGAATGGATTTGAAGGTATTAATTAATGTGAAATGAACTTTAAGTTGGATGACTCCCTCTTATAATTCATTTCTTTTTTAAAAAAATGTTTTTATTGATTTCAGAGAGAAGAAGGGAGAGAGAGGGCGGGGGATAGAAACATCAATGATGAGAAAGAATCATTGATTGGCTGCCTTCTGCACATCTCCTACCAGGGATTGAGCCCACAACCCAGGAATGTGCCCTGATCAGGAATCCAACTGTTACCTTCTGGTTCATAGGTCGAAACTCAACCATTGAGCCACACCGACTGGGCTATAATTCATTTCTGATCATTGAACTTCTAGTTTCTAAGTGGATATACAACTAATTTTATGACTGAAATTAAACTGCTTCATGTTTTGGGGTCTCAGTCTTCTCATTTGCACAAAGAGGCAGCTGGATGGGAAGACATCCTAGGACCTAGGACCTAGGTCCTTCAAGTTTGAAAGTCTATGTCAGGAGTACACCATTTCAGTGAAGCCCCCATCCTTAGCCCTCACAAACAAGCCTTCCAAACCAGATTATGTTTCTTAGGCAAAATAACGGGTGTTCCCCTAAATGCCCCTGTTCTTGGGGGCAATTCTCACCTCTTACCCTTCCACAGTGGAGAACAGGCAGAAGCTGCGGGCTGACGAGCTACGAAGAGAATATCACGAGGAACAACGGAACGAGTTTGAGAACTTTGTGGAGGAGCAAAATGATGGTAAGAGCTCTTCAGCCAGCGTTCCAGGGAAGTGGGGCTTTGCAGGAAAACCACAAGTTGTCTCTACTTCTCCCTACATTTATAGGAGAAAGGGAAACTCTACTTTCATGTTTATGAGAGTCTTTTTTTAAAAAATATATTTTATTGATTTTTTACAGAGAGGAAGGGAGAGAGATAGAGAGTCAGAAACATCGATGAGAGAGAAACATCGATCAGCTGCCTCCTGCACATCTCCTACTGGGGATGTGCCCGCAACCCAGGTACATGCCCTTGACCGGAATCGAATCTGGGACCCTTCAGTCCGCAGGCCGACGCTCTATCCACTGAGCCAAACCGGTTTCGGCAATGGGAGTCTTGAAAAGAAGGGAGAAAGTCATAAATGGACATAGAACCTGAGAAGGGACTGAAAAGGATAGTACCCCTCGGTCACCATGGGCGCAGGGACTGTGGGCTAACTGCATTTTCTCCTGCTTGGGGATCACTGTGGTGGCCCGTGTTGTTTGTATTGGTGAACTCAGTACTGGTAGAGTTGGATTGGGAGGATTTCAAACTCAGTTTTAAGTGTCTTGGACTCACATCAATGTAATGGCTTTAAGAACTACCCATCCTGGGAAACCAAGGCCTCCCTTTACTTAGTCACTATGATCAGCATCTGATCTGACGGGTGGAGGTAAACCAGGAAAACTCAGCAAGCACTGGTCACCGGTACCCTGCCTCTACCCTTCCCCACCTCCAACACCAACATCCACAGGTGACATGAAGGCTCCAAAACACGAATAACACTTGGCGTCGGCGTGCTTGTAGTATGCGGTTTGCTTGTGCCCTTGCCTCGCTGCTCTAGTGTCATCCCTGCTAAGCTGTCACCTGCGCCTCCGCGTCTCACTAGGCAATCAGCACCTCTCATGTCTGCTCTCAACCCTTGAGCAGACAGGGCTCCTGCTTCCCCAAGGAAACGCCGATTTCATCACGGCCTCAGTGAGGCAGCTGGGAGTGGGTGTGGGTGAGGGTAAAGGGAGGCTCTATCTTTGAACCACACAGCTTTCCACCGGGTTGCATTTGACCTTGGATCTACTGAGTACCCTCGAGTAAAGGTCCTTTGGTACATTTAATAGTGAGAGACCAGCAGGCCTGTGTGTGTGTGCGTGTGCGTGCGTGCGTGTGCGTGTGTGTGTGTGTGTGTGTGTGCGCGCGCGCGTGTGTGTGCTTTCTTTGGTCTTGAAAGACCAAATGATCCTGAGCAAGCTCCGGGCGGCATGTGAGCTTAGACACAGGCCCGATTCAGGTCACCTTTGTCAGAGAAGGCCAGCAGTTTCTGTTCTGAAGTTGTTATCTCCTGGCTTGTTTGCACTGGTGTGTTTGAGAGGTACCACCCTCCTAGGGCACCTCGTAATGAAGAGGATAGGATCACCAGATACCCGAGGGCTGCAGGCCAAGCCCCTTGCGCTGTGGCGGCACCTGGCTGAGCCTGCAGCAGGTGTCAGGCTCGGATCCTGGCAAACCAGACTTTCTGGGAACAACTCAGGCGTCATAACTCAGAGGCAAACACTTCTGTTTACCTTGGTGGACAGCTTGGGGAGAGGCATTTTAAAAATGAGAATGTGGCCTCCAAAATTCCTTCAGCGTTTTATATTCCCCCCCGCCCCCCCTCATAGCATTAATAACAGCATTTTATTTTGTGGCTTTTTAAATGTTCCAAGTCCAAATCCCTGGCACCTGGGTAGAAAAACTCACTGTTTTCCTTTTCATGATGAAATTAGGATGAGAGGTCAGGTGCCTTGGGGATGACGGGTCCTCCACCAAAGCCAGAGGAGACTAAGGTCAGGGACCTCAGGCCTTGCCACAGAGATGCAGACACTGCAGGGCAGGGCGCAGGCCTTCCGGGCGGCGGCGCGGTCGTTGCTGAGCACTTGCTCTGTCAGGCAGCGGGCGGAACCGCCCAGTCCTCATCACCAGCCTGAGGTCTTGCAATCTCCACTTTACAGTTTCAAACCTCATCCTGAGACAGGACACATGACTATCCAAGGGGCATTGCTGGTAAGGGGTCTGAACGAAGCCGGCAAACTCGTGTTGTTAAGTGAAGGATAATCAAATGTGTAAGGTCTGGAGATATTCGCTTCAAGGACTGCCGTGAGGATGGAGTGAGGAGGGCAAAGCAGAGGGGCCCGGAGAGGGTCTCCCAAGAGCGGCATGAAGGAGGCAAACAGGTGGAGCCAGCCCGGCCGGCCTGAGGGTACAAGTTCACTTTTCTCCCCTTCCCCTGCCTCTGCCTGGAGCACTGAGTCATGCGCAGTGGCCAGGCTGCTGGAAACCTGCACCCAGGCCTGCTCCCAGCTCTTCCCTGAGGCCCCCACGCCCACAGCTCTCCCCTCCTCCCCCAGGACTCTGGTTCCAGTTAGCTATCTTCATCTGACAAAGTCACCGGTTCTCAGAATAGTAGAGAGCAGTTGGATGTTCCTCCTCTCCCTGAGGTTCTTGCTTCATTAAAGCAAGTGCTGAGGCATTCCCTTGGGGAACCAGGAGGACTCCGATTTCCAAGGGAGGAACTGTAGGCAGTGGTCTGGAGGGAGGTTTCTGGATAAGAGCAACCTTCCAGAGGACCTGAAAATCCACCCCAAAGGCCTATCAACCTACCCAGGCCTCCGGACCTGGTTTGGGGAAAGTGGGCGGGAAAGTTTAGCGCCTCACTCAGCTCTGCCTTGGCTCCTGGTTGCAACTCTACTCAAAACTGCCAGTGTCACAGGCAGCAATAACAGGTCTGCCTCCGAAGCTCTAGGACAGTGGTTCTCAACCTTCTGGCCCTTTAAATACAGTTCCTCATGTTGTGACCCAACCATAAAATTATTTTCGTTGCTACTTCATAACTGCAATGTTGCTACTGTTATGAATCGTAATGTAAATATCTGATATGCAGGATGGTTTTAGGCGACCCCTGTGAAAGGGTCGTTCGACCGCCAAAGGGGTCGCGACCCACAGGTTGAGAACCGCTGCTCTAGGACAAACAGTGCTGAGCTCCCACTTCTAAGGCATAGTGGCAGCACATGTGGGCTTCCACCTTCAAAGCCAAAGCCAGGCAGGCCCTGCCAGCTCTAACCTTTGATGTCTGTCACCAGTGCACACAGGTGTTGGTTCATGGCACCACGCATGGGAGGTTTGGGTTGACAGCTCCAAGAGAGCTTGGTGGCTGCCTTCAGGTCAGAGTCCTCTCTATCCTAACATGATTTCATCTCTCCTCCCAGAACAAGAAGAGAGAAACCGGGAGGCTATTGAGCAGTGGCGCCAGTGGCATTATGATGGCCTGTACCCATCATATCTCTATAACCGCCACCACATCTGACCTCACCCTGATGAATCTAGAAGATGGAGCTTGAAATGCACGTACTCACCCAGGTGTTCCACTCCAGGTGTGGATCAACTCTTTCCCACAAAAAAGGCCCCTTCAAAGGGTCTCAATTTGGGGCCTGCTGTGGTAAACACAGGCCTTTCATTCTGACGGATTAAAATGCCCTGGCTTTCGCTTCTTTGCAAATGAATTCTGAGGTGAGCGAATGCCTGTGGGGCTGCCTAGCACCAAATCTACGGTTGCCCCTTGCTTAGCCATTGTTCCCAAAGTAGGAGTCCCATTCCATAGAACAATGAAAAGAATCACAGTAAAGAGAGATTACATGCTTGCTTACAGCTTACAAATAAAAATGCTGAGTCAACAATAAATTATCTTCTCTCTCTCTCTTTTTTTAATCCTCATGCTTAGAGAGAGGAAGGGAGAGAGAAACAATGGCGTGAGAAATATCAATTGGTTGTCTTCTGTACACGCCCAACCGAGGATTGAACCTGAGACCCAAGCACGTGCCCTGACCGGGAATTGAACCGGCAACCCTTCGGTGGATGACGCTCAACCAACTGAGCCCTCTGGCCAGGCATGAATTATCTTCTCAAATCCCAAACTGAGGGGCGTTAACCTACCACCCCTGAGTGACAGAGTTACTCACACTGACTTGGGTGTTTGAAAGCTTGAACTCAGGAGTTCTATTCACTATTTCCTCAGCATGGCTCAGCAGTCACATGAAGAACAATGCAAAAACAATTGTTTTTGTAAAACCACTGTCTGAGCCCAGGCTTCTCTGAAAAGAGTGTTAAGGTCCAACTGTGGTTTTTTTTTTAATTGCACCAATCAGAAGCCAGGGTTACAGCAAGGCCAGTTGTAACCCAAAGTAGAAAACAGATAGAATTGAGTTTTGGTATCATCTGCTTTTTCTTCATAGTGCCTTTCTTAGTTTGTTAGGGCTGCCATATCAAAGTACCATAAACTGGGTGGCTTAAAACGATACACATTTATTCTCTCACAGTTCTGGAGGCTAGAAATCTGAAATCAAGATGTTGACAGAGCCATACTTCCTCCCAGGCTCTAGAAAAGGGTCCTTCCTAGCCTCCTCCAGCTCCTGGTAACACAGGCTTCCCTGGCTCATGGCAGCATCCCTCCATTGTCACATGGCTTTCTTTTCTCCCCATGTCTTTGCATCACCTTCTCTCTTTCTGTGTTTCTCCTCTTCTTATCAGTCATATTGAATTAAGAGTCCATCCTACTAACCTCATCTTAATCTGATTACATCCGCAAGGACCCTATTTCCAAACGAGGTCACATTCACAGGTTCCAAAGGTTAGGACTCCAGCAAATATTTGGGGGAGGGGGTCACAATTCAGTGCTAGCAGCGGCCCCTTCCTTCTCTCCCAACCACTCTGCCTTCCTGCCCCAGACTCAGCATCAATCCCACTTCTATCCTTGCTCTCCACTCCCTTCAGGAATTCCACACTAAGATAAATGCCACACTAAGAACGCAGAATAACGTACACAGGCACCTCTGCAGAGTCCCAGCCCTAGGGAGAATAAAGAAGACCCTGGGTGGAAAATAGCATCCACTCTTGACCTCTCCCTGTCCCCACCCCTGGGACCCTCTTTCTCCATGCTGCAGTGGTTCTCAACCTCCTGGCCCTTTAAATACAGTTCCTCATGTTGTGACCCAACCATAAAATTATTTTCGTTGCTACTTCATAACTGTAATGTTGCTACTGTTATGAATCGTAATGTAAATATCTGATATGCAGGATGGTCTTAGGCGACCCCTGTGAAAGGGTCGTTCGACCGCCAAAGGGGTCGTGACCCACAGGTTGAGAACCGCTGCTCCATGGCTAGTCCAGCCTGCTTTTGAGGTCGAGCTTCCCGTGCACTATAGGGCAACTTTCCTTTGAGATGGGGCTATTTATTAGATCAGGATACTTTGCAACAAGTGCATGTATTTTAAAGTAATTTTTAAAGATTGTTAAAATTTTTAAAAACATTCTGGTAATAAAGCGATTAGGCATTTTCCAAATCACCTTTATATATGGTCAGCACTGTAGGTTGGTAACCCCAACTTAGGAGGGGGTGTGTGTTTTCACACACCCATTGGGCAATAGAGGCAAGGCAAAGCATTGCTCTCTCCCCCCGCCAGGAAACAGGAGCCACAGTCTGGTCTGTTGTAGTAACGCTGACACATCCACATGCCCTCTGGCAAGGCCAGTGAGCAGGCGGATGATGGCTAAAGCATTCTCAGTCCAGTCGCCACAGCCAGTGTCTCAAAAGGCCTGCCCTGTCCACAGGAAGAAACACGGGGGGAGGGGGGCACACGGATGTCAAAACCCAAGAATGGTCTGGGTGTGGGGCCAATTTAAAAGAACAAAACAGCCTGTCCTTGCCTCTTTAATGTCCACACTTGGAGTGCTGGCTCTAGATAAACTAGATGGCACAAACGGGCCCCCTTATTTCTCGCAGAAATAAGAATTCTATTACCTCATTCTACCCCTGTCTTTAACAAGGACCCTATTATACTTCAGGGTTTTCAAATTCCACCCAGAATTCCTTCATTAAAGCCAATCACAGTCATTTCCTGGGCAGGGGGAAGCATGCCAAAGGTAACAGGACCTGGAATCCGGGCAGCCACATTCAATAGGAAGTTAGTAATGGAGCGATCTGTATTTTTAGAGACTGGCCTTGTCGAAGTGTGGTCTTTGGGACATTCTACCCCCTAGTTCTTTAGTGGTTTCAGGTTAAGTGGCTGAAAACAAAGTCTACAAAGGATGGACTGGTGAAAACTCATTTTTTATTCACTGCCCCCCCCCTTTTTTTTTTTGAGTATGTGTACTCCAGGGAAGATACTGCAACTGATTGCATCATGTGCCTTTATTTAGATTTTTTGGGGGATGTGGCAATTTTCATGACCCTGAATGATTTTTAAAATTTAAAAAATTTGTTAGATACTTTTTATCAGTTTCATTTGGTTGGGTTATTTCATTTCTAATTCATTTTCAACCAACTAATGTTCTAATTCTTTGGTAAGGTTTTCATAATTTGAAAGTTCTTAAGGCAGGGGTCCTCAAACTTCTTAAACAGGGGGCCAGTTCACTGTCCCTCAGACCGTTCGAGGGCCGGACTATTGTTTTAAAAAAAACTATGAACAAATTCCTATGCACACTGCACATATCTTATTTTGAAGTAAAAAAACAAAACGGGAACAAATACAATATTTGTATTTGCATGTGGCCCGCGGGCCGTAGTTTGAGGACCCCTGTCTTAAGGGATTTGTTCCAAAGCAAATTGGTTAAATATGGAGGATCTTGTTCACAGAGTAATTCTGCTACAGTCTGTGATCTTTTTTTTTTTTTTTTTTTAAATATATATTCCATTGACTTTTTACAGAGAGGAAGGAAGAGGGATAGAGAGTTAGAAACATCGATGAGAGAGAAACATCGATTAGCTGCCTCCTGCACACCTCCCACTGGGGATGTGCCTGCAACCAAGGTACATGCCCTTGACCGGAATCGAACCTGGGACCTTTCAGTCCACAGGTCGACGCTCCATCCACTGAGCCAAACCGGTTAGGGCTACACTCTGTGATCTTATCATGTTCTTCGGCTGCTTCCTGCACGCCCCATACTGGGGATCGAGCCTGCAACCCGGGGAACGTGCCCTTGACTGGAATCAAACCTGAGACCCTTCAGTCCGCAGGCCAAGGGACGCTCTTATCAACTGAGCCAAACTAGCTAGGACTGTTCTAACACTTTTTAAAGGTTTGCCCACTTTCCACATTATTTTGATATTTTAAATTAAAAATATTTTGAATGTATACAAAGTTTAAAAAATGTAAAGGATGAAAAGGAAGTGTCCTTCCCCTGTCTCCCAAAGGAAACAGTCATTCCCGAGTCTTGAGTATTCTTCAGTGATCTGTGCACATCTAGGTATCTAGCTATACTTTTTCTATTTTTATTTTTTAAACTTCAAAATTCATTTTTGACCAATAATGCCTACTTTACTATTAAACAAATTTTCTACCATTAAAAAATCTGTATAATTAATTTATATTCAAGCAGTTTTCAAAAAGCTTTCTCAGATAAAAAGCCTCCTACAGGAATGGTAATGTTTGAGGGGAAGTGCCTGACAAAAACACTTATTTAATGTGTAAAACAAAGGTGAAAAATATTTAGACAAGTTCTCACTAATTTTCACACTCTAATAATGCAAATTAAACTACAATTTCATGTTACCATGCACCTATCAGGATGGTTAAAATTAAAATGCCTATCAAATACTGGTGAGGATGTGGAGAAATGGAACTCTCATACATTACCAGTGGGTATGTAAAATGGGACAATTACTTTGGAATATAGGTTACCAGTTTCTTACAAATCTAAACACACACTTAGCAGCTGACTCAGAAATCCCACTCCTATTTTCATGAGAAATGAAAACACATAGCCACAGAAAGACCTAACATTGGTAGCAGCTTTACTCATACCTGCCCCATAGTGGAAACAATCCAACCCAAACACATTCATTGGGGGGCATATCCACAGTGAAATACTCAACGATAAAGAACGAATTGCTGATACAGTCAAGAACTTCAAAAATACTATGCTAGTCTGGCTAGTGTGGTTCAGTGGTTGAGCATCGTTATGAACCAGGTCATGGTTCGATTCCCAGTCAGGGCGCATGCCCAGATTGCAGGCTCGACAACAGTAGGAGGCATGCAGGAGGCAGTTGATCAATTATTCTTTTTCATCATTGTTGTTTCTATCCCTCTCTGTGAAATCAATTTAAAAAATACTATACTAAGTGAAAAAAGCCAGATATGATTTCAATTTATATGAAACTCCAGAAAAGACAGATCTAAATTATAATGACAACAGACCAGTGATGGCCAGGGACATGGAGTGTGGACTGGGAAGTGGCACGAGGCAACCTTTTGGGGTGATGGAAATATCTTCTATCTTGCTTATGGCAATGGTTATATGGTGTACCTATTTGTCAAAATTTAGTGAACTGTACACTTAAGATGCATGCCTTTTACTGTTTGAAATTCAGACCTTAATTAATTTTAAAAAGTAGCAACAGAGAACCAAGATGGCAGCATAAGGTATAAACCTGTGCGTGCGGCCTCCCACAACAACACTGAAATTACAACTATAAGACAAAACAGCTATCATCCAGAGCCATGGGAAAGCTGGCCGAGTGTAAGTTCTACAACTAGAAGGAAAGAAAGAAGAGCATTGAGACCGGGTAGGAGGTGCAGAGGCACCAAAAACAGAGGTACGAAGGCGCGCACGCGCGAGAGACGGCTGCACCTTGGTGCGCGGTTTTTTTCAATCAGAAGGGGCTACAAGCTCTCCAACGCACTGAG